TTTACGAAGTATTAGATACTTTTTTTTCTAAATCTATATGTAGGAAAATACGTGCGGAAACTGGCTTAAAATAAAAAACAGTTTTTTGTAAACATGTTTATTATTAACTAAAAAAAATTTACATTATTCATTTAAAGGCTATAACTTCATAAATACGTATAACAAGCAGTGGTCGAGTAGTGTTGGGCAGTCGCGCTGGGCCTCGGTTACAATACCTTACGGTGCGTTTCCACTGTAGTTAAATGTGTTCCAGTGTTCCACGAGGCAAATCCAGCACAAATCTCCAACAATACCCATTATCACATTCAACGACTCTGACAAAGGATGAGCATTCAACAATAATATCTTTGAATCTAGTCTAAAAAATTGATTTAACGTGCGTTTTCACTCCCGAGGCAATTGTGAAAACATATTGTGATGCTTTATCTTTATACAAAAATTAAAGACTTCACGATAAAGTAGTATGACTTTTGATAAATCTGCATTTAATATTTTTGTTGCATATTTAACAAGTCATAATACCTTAAAAACATTTGGTGAAAATTATATTATACATTAAGATGAAAATTTTATGCAAGTATTACAAATTGCATTTAATTATTCGGCAAATGAATGCTCCCTTATTACATTGGTACATCTTTGAAAAAGGTTTTAAATAAGAATGTGCTGAATCAAAACCTCAAATTCGGTAATGTCAGTAGTACTTTTTAAATATTTTTTTTTAATCTGCAAAGGCCGAACGTCATTTAAGCACATTCTTATTCAAAACTTGTAGTTTGTTTATTTAAAATTATTCCATCAATAAACTACATATACATTTCAAACCGGTGTAAATTTGTGTTAAGGATAATTTTATATATAATAATTTAAACATATAAATAATTCTTGTTGAATTGTCGGAATATGGTTACATACAACATTAAAAATTAAGCACACGAAAACAAAAGCCCAGTCTCAGTACATTTAAATAATATTACCATGTTAATATCTAGTGCTTCATTATTTATGAGCACGTTATAAAAAATACCGTAAAATCACTGTTTAAGGATCCTGTAGGCCTGGTATGTAGATTTTTATTTACAACAAAAGGTCACAATACACTAAGCAAAACATTAACAAATACATCCGTACATTTCCACACACTAAAACGAAACTAGTATAACTACAAATTGATTCTCTAAACCTAACTTTTTTAAAATTTCTATGTTTATATACATAATGTACAACATCTAAATTGCCTATAGATTGACTAATCTCAGTATTTTTTAGATTACAACGCGTTTACAATAACATGATAGTTCAACCGCCCATACGCATCTTTTACCAGGGAGCCATTTCACTATATCTTACTATATGGCGTCATATTTGAATGTCATGTTATTGTTCACGCGTAGTACTGAGGGCTATCAAGAATATTCCTAAGAACGTTATTGTAACTTCAGATAAAAATCGTATTAGATTTGTACAGCGAGCGTAAAGTACACTAACAAATGTAATACTTTTTTTCTTGACAGTCGAATCCGTTCACGCAACTGTCAGGCAAATATTCGTGATAGACCCTCTGTTGCCTGTTGCATTGTTTCTATGAAGCTATTTACCTTTAGATGCTTTTATTAACAGGTGCGGTCAATTTTAAATAAATATAAAAAAAATGAAAATAACTATACAAGTATTTTGCATATTAAATTATCAATTTATAAAAGTTGAAATTAGTAGAATAATTATAGATAATGATAAATTTGGGCAAAAGATTTTTTTTTTATTAAATTTAAACATGTAAGCTAGTACCTATAGAATCTACAAGAGCTAACTAATTTATAGGTATTTTTAGTAAGATATATTTTCTCTACATAGTACTACATATTATAAATTTTGGATATGTTTACTAGTTAGAAGAAAACCGAAATAGAAAAACGATATAGGAAGATTATAGAAAAAACGAGATCTCATAAGGAATAACGTCACATATATCCAAAAAAATAATTGATTTTTGTTAAATTATATGGAATTAGTTACATTAAGAAATTTAATTAATATAAAATTTTATCTTAATTTAATTTAATTTGATTTGATGGGATGTTAAAGACATCAAAAATTTCACATTAATTCAATTTTACTACATTTTTTTACTATAAAAACCAAATTATAAAAGTTACAAAGTTTTTAAATAATAATTTACGTCCATTTTACATTTTTTTACGAATTAACATTACCAATTGTATATTATATTAATAAATTTAAACTTCCATTTAATACATAGCATAAATGCAATTTTAAAAGAGACCAAATATTAACCAATCAGTTTAAAAAATTATGACTTTTCTATATTTTTTTTTACTTTTTCACAAATGTACTTTAATTGACACACAAGTATACAAAAAAGTACAACTTATATTATGGTGATTGTAAAAATTTAAACTTTTATAGAAATTAATAAATAGAATTACAAACAGGTTAGAAGTGTCCAAGTTACATATAGTTTTTACATATCATATGTAACTAAAACTATAAAGAAAACATACTTTGATATAATTTACAAAGCTTTTTTGTTTAAAATTAATAACTATAATATCACTTTGTTGCTATAAAATGTTTATTCATCACCAAATATGCAGATACATTCTAAAATCGCTAAAAAGGACATAATTTCCAATCTATACAAAAACTACTTTAAAGTTAAGATCAATTCTATGTAAAAATTAAGTTTCGATAAATGCAACACAAATTCAGAGAGGATTATATTAATTGTGATGGGAATTACAAAATAACTGTTAAATTACTTCACACTGCGGACATACCCACATATATACAGGGCAGTGTCAGAATGTCACAGTGACGTCATCGTTTATATTTGATTTTCATCCTTGACGTGTTCCGGTTTGTCCGCAGCTCGGTACAGAGGGTTCTTACCCTTCACAGGCAGGGGATGGGCCTCCGTGTTAAACACCCACTCGTCTAGAGGGATCATCGTGTCGTCGGAGAACAGCAGGTATAAGTACTGAAAGTACACATTAGTAAGTATATTATTGTAGTATAAAAATATTAATAAAAGTAATGGAAAATAGGAAAAACAAAAACAAAAAAGGAACTCATTAATGTAGGATTACGCAACAAAAGAAAATAAAAAGGATTAAAAATTGTGCAAAAAAGACTACGGACCAAGAGTCTGTAGATGTTAATAAAAAAATATATATTATAGAAATTATAAACGTGAAAGTTTACATGGATGTTAGAGTTTGTAGCCTAAACTGCTGAACGGATATCGATTTTGGCATAGATGTAGAGGATAGGCTAGAAAAACAGATAGGCTACTTACTCCACGCAGACAATGTCGCGGGCAAAAGTTAACTTACTTTATAAGTAATTATTAATTATTAACTAATAAGTAAAAACATGACTGTTTTACTCAGTTAAATTGGTTACTATTGGATTTCTTAGTATGGGGTGTACAATCGTGGAAATCTGCGGTGTTTCACTTGTATTAAAAAATTGTTCCTTCAAACTACACAAATTAGGCCTCTTCGTGCATAACCAATTCGGTATCAGTGAGTTGCGTAAATGACGAGGTAGTAAAAAGCAATTAGTCTTGTATGTTTTTTCGTACACAATATTAAAACGACTGTAGCTGTTAACACCGCTAGATTCCCCGATTGTACACTAAGGGAATGCTCGAGCATGCATTTAATGTTTACGCTGCAATTAGCCATTTTAATATTTTATTTAAACTATATTCAAAAATATTAATGAAAAGTCAATGCTCTCTCATTATCACGTAGCCAATAACTGTTTACGAAAAGTCAATTCTTCTCTTTTTCACGTTACATGTTCATTCACATTATATGTATATTTAGAAAACAATACATTTACAAGTAAGTAGTACCTTGAGTGTCTCAGCGAGGAAGTAGCTCTGCTGCACGTCGTCGCCCTGCGGCTTCTTGTGGTACACGTTCATGAGCCCCGTGTAGCCGCCCTCCACGCGGCAGTGCTTCTCCAGCGCCTGCAAAGCAACAATAAGCGTCAAACAAATGTTCTATCTTTTAAATTACTAACATCCCTCTATACCATATTCTGAAATATAGTAATGCATACACACATTTCTTTGTTATGTAGGATGTCAGCAATCATAGTACATATTTTTTTATAATAGGTCCTACACTTACGATACGCTTTAGGATATATATTTTTACGCTATTTAACTTAGGGAGTAAATAATTTAAAAAAAACAAATGTGGGAAAGGGACAAAAACTCCAAGCAAGGTTGCCATGTTAACGGTAATTGTTATTCAATGACGACCATTGTCATTTGTGCATTTGAATTTTATCATTTGCAGTTGAAAATTTTTATTACCAGCTTCAGAACGGCTCTTTAGACGCGATTAACGCGTGATTTCAACTCTCCTCGTCTACTTTTATACAAAACTTGGCCATTGCTTGTGTTACCTGCACCGCCTCCCAGCCCCAGTCGCGGTACTTCTGGTCCTTGGTGAGCCGCCACATGATGAAGTAGCTCTCGAAGGTCT